TCACTTTTTAATTAAATGCACTTTTTTTTGCAGATAAACATTTGCATTTACTTTTATTTTTTTGGAGCCTGAGAAGCATGCCCCTGCAATCAGATCGCTAGTGCCATGCAGGACTCCTGTAAAGCTGTCAGTGTAGCTGTGTGCTCGTACCGGCAAGCAGAAACACTGATAGGAAGAATCAATGAACTACCACAGCGCTCAATAGCACCCTGGTACATCATTGAGAACTAAAAATCCAACAGTTGCAAAGGTTGTTGGGACGTTTGAAGAGCTATATACACCTGGAAAACAGAGACTCTGTGGAGTCAGAAGTGAGGAAAAAAGGTATGTTTTCAGCACTGTGGTGTCAATTATGAAACAAAATCTAGCATATGCCAGATTCTGAGTACTTTAACACTTAATTGGCATGGGATGGTGACAAGGTAAGCTGACATTTACCTCCTTGGCATTGTTTAGCATATAGTGTGGAGGCTCCAGCCAGAGATTTTTTTTACACTCTTTGTTTTGGATGATGTGGAGAAGTCTTACAATATCTGGCAGTGGCCAGACATGGATTGCTGGTACATGAAATGGGAACAACACACAATAAGAACACTGACGAAAAAAACTAAACTTCCATTAGACTTTCCAAAACAAAAATACAATGTTTTTGGCTGAAGTTCCAGTTTAACCTGCTTTAAAAACCTTCTTCTCCAGGCTTCCAGGTCTAGTATTCTAGGTAGTTGGGAAATCCACATAGATTACGATGGGGCTGATGATTAGGTGCAAAACGTTGCAGAGCACATGGGTCAGAATCATGCCGAGCAGGAGGGAGAGTCAAGTTTTTAACACAGCTTTACTGAAAAGCACCAGGAGATAAATTAACTCCTCATTTTCTACAGCATTACATGTCCTTGAGACCTTCTATCCATTGCAATTCCCTTGTGTTTTTTTGAAAACTAAGCTCTTGAATTACAACATACACACAGATACAAAAAAAATCAAATAAAAATATATAAACAACTTTTTGGCAAGTCCACTAAGTGAAAATGCTCAGACATTCCAGAGTCATCACATCAGCCCTGTGACCCTAAGACGATGAGGCGAACACTTGCAGAGATTCAGGAGTATGAACAGAACAGGATCATCTGCCACTTCACAAATCAAGAGATTCCAGGTCGCCAAAATCACAATCAAAGAGTTCGCCAACGCCTTCATAATTCTCCAAGCCAAAGCGGTACTCATTGGTCAGGGGTGGAGACAAATTGATCAGCTCATCAGGAAGAAAGTCTGGCAAGGCAGTAGAAGTGACGGGGGACAGATTGAGGTCTTCTCCTGTGTAGCCCAAGGGAAGGTCCGTATCCGGTGACAGTAAGGACGCTGGAAGAGAAAAATTGTTAATAAAGCAAGGAAAACTGGAGATGGTGTCTGTTACAGGTTTTAGTAAATATAACAAAAAAGAGGAAGTCTTTAAAAACCTGGAATAGCTACTGAACAAGGGAAGCTATAACGTTTCAGCTTTCAGGGTTATACACAGTAGCTCAGACCCCATAGATAGAATGCTAGTACCTCCTGGAAACAGATCAATGGCACCATCTCATTTAGTAAAGGGCCTCCAGTCTGCTCCGCCACCATTAATATGGTTTAAAAAAAAAAAACAAAAAACATGCAATGGATCAGGTCTGTCTTCTTGTGGTATGACTATTGCTGTGGTTTCTAGATATTATACATGGATAGGTACTTATCACTGTTACTTTGATGAAACATATACAGTCATAACAGCCTGGTATTTTGTTATCTTATTAAAATGGAATAAACATATTTGGGTGTGTTAAAAAAAAAAAAAAAAAAAAAAAAAAAGCCTTAAAAAAACAGTATAAAAATTTCTGGGTTTCTAAAGAACACACCTATATGGCAAAACACCATGTAGGCTGAACTTGTTAAACTGGAAGGGTACTCATTAAGGCAGCAGGCAGATTTAATTTATGTATCAGTTATACAGCAGGAATATGTTGAAATCCTTCACAAATGTTTCAGAGTTTGGTATCCCAAGGCAACAATTCCTTCCAATTATGACATGCCATATACATACACACACACACACATATACAGTTGCGGGGGGGGCAGTTAGATCCATATATATTTGGACACCATTTTCATACTTTTTGGCTCTGTATGGCACCAGAATAAATTAAAATGAAACAATCCAAATGAATTTGAAGTGCTTACTTGGCTTTAATTCAAGGGGTTGAATATAAATATCAAGTACAAATTTTAGGAACTGCCACCATTTTTATACACAGTCCCTCCATTTTCAGGGGCTCAAATGTAATTGGACAACGGAACATAATAATAAATAAAATGTTCATTTTTAATATTTTGTTGAGAATGCTTTACTGGCAATGACTGCCTGAAGTCTGGAACCCATGGAGATTATCAAAGACTGGGTTTCCCCCTTTCTCATGCTTTGCCAGGCTGTAACTGCAGCTGTCTTCAGTTGTTCGTTGTTTATGGGTCTTTCTGGCTTTAGTGTTGCCTTCAGCAAGTGAAATGCATGCTCAATTAGGTTGATATTAGGTGATTGACTCAGCCACTGCAGAATATTCCACTTTTCCTTCAAAAGCTCCTGGGTTGCTTTTGCAGTGTGCTTTGGATCATTGTCCATCTGTACTGTGAAGCGCTGTCCAATCAACTTTGCTGCATTTTGCTGAATCTGGGCTGACAGTATATCTCTAAACACTGCAGAATTCATCCGGCTGCTTCTGTCACATCATCAATAAACACCAATGAGCCAGTGCCACTGAAACCCATGAATGCCCATGTCATCACACTGCCTCCTCCATGTTTTACAGATGACATTGTGTGCTTTGGATCATGAGCTGTTCCAAGCCTTCTCCACACTTTTTTCTTCCTGTCATTCTGGTACAGATTAATCTTAGTTTCATCCATCCAAAGAATGCTTTTCCAGAACTGGTCTGGCTTTTTTAGATGTTTTTTTTTTTGGCAAAGTCTAATTTAGCTTTTCTATTCTTCAGGCTTATGAATGGTTTGTACCTTGTGGTGAACCTTCTGTATTTGCTCTAGTGAAGTCTCCTCTTGATTGTAGACATTGACAATGATACACCCACCTCCTGGAGACTGTCCTTCACTTGTCTGGATGTTGTGAATGGGATTTTCTTTACCATAGAGAGGATCCTGCGATCATCCACCACTGTTGTCTTCCATGGACGTCCATGCCTTTTTATGTTGCTGAGCTCACCAGTGTGTTTTTCTTTCCTCAGAATGTACCAAACTGTTGATTTGGCCACTCAATGTTTGCCACTATCTCTCTGATGGATTGGTTTTGTTTTTGAAGCATTACAATGGCCTGTTTCACTGGCATGGACAGCTCCTTTGAACGCATGATGTAGGTTCACAGCAATAGATTTCAAATGCAAATACCACACTTAGAATCAACTCCAGACCTTTTACCTGCTTAATTGATGAAGAAATAACAAAGGAGTAGCCCATGGCTGTCCATGAAACAGCTTCTGATTCAATTGTACAATTACATTTGGTCCCTTGAAAAAGGGCCGATGGTTACTCTTAGGAGACGTGATTCCTAAACCCTTCTTCCAATTCGGATGTACATACCCTCAAACTAAACCTGGGAGTGTGCACATTCAGCCCATATCCATTATATAACTATAGCTTGAATACATAAAAAAAAACAAACTAAAAAATTGTGCTTGTGTCCAGATATATATGGACCCAACTATATATATATATATATATATATATATATATATATATATATATATATATATATAAATAAAACTATATATTGGAAGGAGATAATTGACATCATTTTTTTTTTTTTTTTTTTTTTAAGTCCGCAAACGTGCAAACTAGAACGAAAAAACCCGTAAGTGTTTCACAAAAAAGTGCAAGTGCAAAAACACCACACAAAAAGTGCACTTAGGGGTGTGCTTTGTCCTACCCCCGAAGGGGTTGGACCACTACCCTGATCCCCCGGGGCACGAAGCTCCTGACAGGGACAAGGTTCCCGTTTGGTCATCATTGTAACAGTTACTGGCATTACCATTCCATTTGATCCTATAAACATGCCTACTAGGTGCACCTGGTGTGGAGGTTTTTCAACCTCCAGAACACATAGTGCCATCATTTATTTATACTAATCATTTATTGCACGTAAATTAGTTGAACATCAAAAGTCCCCTTAACACAATGACAAAGAAATGTGGATAGATCAGGTGAACTCTTAACTTGGTGCAAGAAAAGCTAGGGTACCAACAGAACTCACCCTAATAAATTTGAAAAGATTTGGCAGATGGCTAACAACCCCTGGCTTAACTCTACCACAATTGGTACTGGAAAGATTACTGCAAATATAACACTTTTGTCCACTTGGCATTGCTATTGGGTATACAAAAGAGAGCAGCAAGCTATTTTATACTAAAATGCGCTATGTTGGCTACTAAGAATGTCCTTCCACCAAAAGACAACTTTGGCCTTATGTAAATTGTGTTCTGCAGTTTAACCTCCCTAGCGGTCTGATTATGTCAGTATTTCTGTGCTAAAAATTAAAAAAAAAAAGACAAAAAAAATGTACCGCTTTATTATAGGCCTGTAATTCTTAGCAATAACTCACTGAAATCTGTCCGAACAAGAGTCTTGTAAACATCCCGGGTATGATAAAATTTGAAACACGAAATCATAAATTATAATATAATAATCATAAAAAATAAGAGTTCAGTCGCAAAATCGTTTTCAGTGTCTGATGACGAATTCCCCCACGAATCATTATCACTCAATTCTGCAAGTGGTTCTGATTTACTATCGCTGTTCTCTAGCCGGTCTAAAACCGCTTTTGACCTAAAGGGACGCTTTTTGGACGCCATGGACGTTTCTCAGTTTCCAGGCAGAAAGAACAGTAAAAATGCAGGCAGGGCACAGGACAAAGCACTCGGGACAAAATGTATGTGAAATGGTTTGATACAGTAATGTTTTACTATGTGATTTTAGTGTATTTAGTGAATGTCACTTTTTGTCATTTTCAAATTTCCCGCCAGTTCCGTCCCCCGTACGTCCCGACGCTCGCAGGGGACGGGAACCAGATGACAGATGCCGGCATACGCCGGAGGACATGGCCGGGGAAACTGCAGGAGGGACATCGCAGGAACGCAGGACAAGGTAAGTGAAGAACAGATGCTGGAGCAACGCAGCATGGTAAGCCCGAGTGTAGCCCGGGGTTACCGCTTTTGGTACTGAAACTTTACCCCGAGCTACACTCGGAATACCGCCAGGGAGGTTAGAAGAGCTACAGCACATTAGGTGCTGGCAGTGACTACCAGTCAATATGGAAGGCATATGTCACTATTAAACAAGCCTGTTTTTGCAACACACAGAGGAACTGGACAGTGGAAATCAGATTTCTGTTGGTGAAACAAAAAAAAATATACATACACATACTATATTGAAAATGAACTTTAATGGCATCCCAGTCTTAGTCCGTAGGGTTCAATATTGAGTTGGCCCCGCCCTTTGCAGCTATAACAGCTTCACCTCTTCTGGGAAGGCCGTCCACAAGGTTTAGGAGGGTGTCTATGGGAAGGTTTGACCATTTTTCCAGAAGCGCATTTGTGAGGTCAGGCACTGATGTCAGACAAGAAGGCCTGGCTCGCAGTCTCCACTCTAATTGATCCCAAAGGTGTTCTATCAGGTTGGGGTCAGGACTCTGTACAGGCCAGTCCATTCCCCCACCCCAAACTCGCTCATCCTTGTCTTTATGAACCTTGCTTTGTAAACTGGTGTGTAGTCATGTTAGAACAGGATGCTGCGATCTCCAAACTGTTCCCACAAAGTTGGGAGCATGAAATTGTCCAAAATGTCTTGGTATGCAGATGCTCTTGGTATGCCGACACCCTGAAAAACCACCCCCACACCATAATCCCCCCTCCACCAAACTTTACACTTGGCACAATGCAGTCAGGCAAGTACTGTTCTCCTGGCAACCGTCAAACCCATGTCCATCAAAATTGCCAGCCAGAGAAGCGCAATTGGTCACTCCAGAGAACACGTCCCCACTGCTCTAGAGTCCAGTGGCGGCGTGCTTTACACCACTGAATCCAACACTTTGCATTTCACTTGGTGAAGGCTTGGATGCAGCTTGGATGAAGCTCTCTATGCACTGTTGTGCTAATCTGAAGGCCACACAGTTTGAAGGTCTTTAGCTATTGACTCTACAGACAGTTGGCCACTACTGCGCACCGTGTGCTGCAGCATGCGCTGACCCTGATCTATCATTTTTCGTGGCTGAGATGCTTCCTCTTTATTATAATATCACTAAGAGTTGACCGTGGAATATTTAGTAGCAGGAAATTTTACGGATGGACGTAGAGGTGGCAACCTATCATGGTACCACGCATGAATTCACTGAGCCCCTGAGAGCGATCCATTCTTTCACAAATGTTTGTAGAAGCAGTCTGCATGCCTGATCTTATACACCTGAACCCAATGATTTGGAGGGGGTGTCCCAATACTTTTGGAAATATTATATATATATATATATATATATATATATATATATATATACACACATACATATACACACACACACACACACACACACACACAGTACTGTACAAAAGTCTTAGGCAGGTTCCATTTTTCTACACCCCAGTTCCTATATTTTCATGCATAGGACATGGCAGCAAGGCTAAGGACTCAACTACACATGATAACACAGAAATTGGGGTGCAGAGAAATGACAACAGCACTGTTCTGCACTGATGAATCCAAATCTGAAATATTTGGCTGTAGCAAGAGGCAGTTTGTTCTCCAAAGGGCTGGAGAGCGGTACAATGAGTGTCTGCAGGCAAACAGTGCATGCTGGAGGTTCCTTGCAAGTTATGGACTGCTTTTGTGCAAATGGAGTTGGAGATTTGGTCAGGATCAATGGTGTCCTCAGTGCTGAGAAATTGTCAGGGCTCCGTCCTCGGCAGAGGTGTTAGGAGACCTGACACCCCTGCCAGTACCTTGCATGGCTGCAGAAGTTCACATCGGCTCAAATTTGGCACCAAACAGCCTTTATAAGGAAGCCCTGCACTACTCTTAGGTGCTGGTTGAACTCTGGCTCCCCAGTACCTTGTTCCTGTGCCACTGTGACCTGTGATTTCCTGTTCCTGTGCTATTGTGATCTGTGATTTCCTGTTACTTACTCGGTTTGCTCCTGGACTTGTCTTCTCTGCTTAAACCCTGACCTGACCTCGGCTTGGCTAACGGATATTCTCTCTTGCTCCTCTGTGTATGACCTTGGCTATCCCACCTGACTACGGCTGCTCTGATCTTCACCCGGTACCGGACCATGGCTTTGAACCGGCTATCCGGTAATCCTCTGTTCCCCGGAAGGGCTTGCATACTTCGCACAGGTGCCACCTGTCTGCAGACCTCATCTCAGTGCATCAACTGTGCTCCTGGGTGAACCACCAAAAGCACTCCTACAGGCGACCTGTGCCACTTTGGGCCTGACTCCTGCTGTCCCACTCTCAGGCGGGTCTGGAACTTAGCCGCAAGGGAAGCCCTCTCTTCATTGGCCTCTCACACCAGGTACGTGAAAAAAATACAGTGGGGATCGAAAGTTTGGGCACCCCAGCTAAAAATTTGTATTAATGTGCATAAAGAAGCCGAGGAAAGATGGAAAAATATCCAAAAGGCATCAAATTACAGATTAGACATTCTTATAATAAGTCAACAAAAGTTAGATTTTATTTCCATCATTTACACTTTCAAAATAACAGAAACAAAAAAATGGCGTCTGCAAAAGTTTGGGCACCCTGCAGAGTTAATATCTTGTACTGCCCCCTTTGGCAAGTATCACAGCTTGTAAACGCTTTTTGTAGCCAGCCAAGAGTCTTTCAATTCTTGTTTGAGGTATCTTTGCCCATTCTTCCTTACAAAAGTCTTCCAGTTCTTTGAGATTTCTGGGCTGTCTGTCACGCACTGCTCTTTTAAGGTCTATCCATAGATTTTCAATTATGTTGAGGTCAGGAGATTGTGAAGGCCATGGCAAAACCTTCAGTTTACGCCTCTTGATGTAATCCCCCGTGGATTTCGAGGTGTGTTTAGGATCATTATCCATTTGTAGAAGCCATCCTCTCTTTAACTTCAGCTTTTTCACAAATGGCATCAAGTTACCATCCAAAATTTGCTGAAATTTTATTGAATCCATTTTTCCTTCTACTCGTGAGATGTTCCCTGTGCCACTGGCTGCAACACAACCCCAAAGCATGATTGATCCAACCGCATGCTTAACAGTTGGACAGAAGTTCTTTTCATTAAATTCTGTGCCCCTTCTTCTCCAAACGTACCTTTGCTCATTCCGGCCAAAAAGTTCAATTTTAACCTCATCGGTCCACAGAACTTGTTTCCAAAATGCATCAGGCTTGTCTATATGTTCATTTGCAAAGTTCAAACGATGATTTTTGTGGTGAGGACATAGAAGAGGTTTTCTTCTGATGACTCTTCCATGAAGACCATATTTGTACAAGTATCTCTTTATAGTGGAATAGTGTACCACAACTACAGTGTCTGCCAGATCTTTCTGGAGGGATCGTGCAGTCAAACGTGGGTTTTGAATTGTTTTTCTCACAATCCTGCGAGCTGTTCTGTCTGATATTTTTCTTGGTCTTCCAGATCTTGCTTTAACTTCCACTGTTCCTGATGACTGCCATTTCTTAATTACATTCCGAACAGAGGATATTGACATCTGAAAACGCTTTGCTATCTTCTTACAGCCTTCTCCAGCTTTGTGAGCGTGAACTATTTTCAGTTTCAGTTTTCTAGACAACTGCTTAGAAGAACCCATGGTGCTGATTGTTGGGCAAGGTCAGATGAGTCTGGGCATTTAAAACCTTTGAGATTGACATAACCTGATCTTCCCAGACGATGATTGAGAACAATCCATGACACTGGCAGGTCTCAGCTTTGCAAAGGGGGCAGTGCATGCTATAAACTCTGCAGGGTGCCCAAACTTTTGCAGACGCCATTTTTTTTGTTTTCTGTTATTTTGAAAGTGTAAATGATGGAAATAAAATCTAACTTTTGTTGACATATTATAAGAATGTCTAATCTGTAATTTGATGCCTTTTGGAGATTTTTCCATCTTTCCTTGGCTTCTTTATGCACATTAATACTAATTTTTAGCTGGGGGGCCCAAACTTTCGATCCCCACTGTACAGATACTCATCCTTCATGCTATACCATCACAGAAGCGTGTGATTGGCCCCAAATTTATTCTGTAGCAGGACAATAACAATAAACATACAGCCAATGTTATTAAAAGGATATGTTCACATTTATAGAAAAAATAATAAAATGCTTTTTTTTTTTTTTTTTTTTGCTGCAGGAGCCTGGAAACCATTGCACCAGCAATCAGGTCACTGGTGCCATGCAGGTCTCCTCCAGATCTGTCAGTATATCTGCTTGCTCATATGGGAAAATAGATATACAGACAGGAAGAATCAATGAACTACCATGGCGCTCCACAGGGCTGCGGTAGTTCATTGAAAACTAAAAGCCAACAGCCGCTAAGGTTGACAGGACTTTTAGTTTCTCATTCACAGAACACCGTGAATAAGTGACGGTGATGGAGCCCCACTTGGCTACATTTATTTAAATTTGACAGCTAGCAAGGGAGAGAAGACCCCCTGCTAGCTGTCAAAGCAGGGGCTGGTCTGATCATAACATGTTACACCCAGAATATGGGTGTAACATGTTATCAAAGGTGAACTTCTTTGGACTGAAGACAGTTCTTAAAAGGATAACAATGAGTCTTGGAAGTGATGGTTTGACCCCCCAAGGAGCCCTGATCTCAACATTATGTAGTCTGTCTGGGATTACATGAACAGACAGAGCGATTAGAGGCAGTCTACATCCACAGAAGATCTGTGGTTAGTCTCCAAGATGTCTGGAAAAATCTACCTGCCAAGTTCCTTCAAAAACTGTGTGCATAAGAACTGTGCACCTTCAAAACAGCATCAATTCTTCTACTTACAAAGGGTGGTCACACCAAATATTGATTTGATTTGGGTTTCTCTTCTGTTCAGTTACTTTCCATTTTGTTAATTGATAACAATAAACTATTAACACTCCTATTTCTGAAAGCATTCCATTCACAGCAATTTTTCACACCTACCCAAGACTTTTGCACAGTACTGTATACAGACACCACAGATTAAAAACAGTACCTACATATACATACCACACCTAATATGAGTTCCTTCAAACAAATATTCTAGGCTCTTCCTTTATTCAGCCAGG